ACTGCAAAAAAGAAGTTGTGAGGAAAATTATCTTTTTAAACTGTAGAGCCTTGTAGAAATTGTCTGAAACGATAAGAGAAATACAATGACAAAACTGTGTTTAAATCTCTTATGTCCCAGGAGATTTTTGTTTTTTTTAAATACCATTATTTCATTTTCTTTTTTTAATATTTAGAAATTGTTCTTAAAAAGAATTAATATAAAAAAAATTCGATAAACCATACACTTATATACCGTATTTTATGGTGTATAATACGAGAAATTTTGAATGGAAATTATTGGTAAAAAGTAAGGTTTGTATTATGCACAAGTATATGTTTTCAAAAATTGCTACTCGGCTTAAAAAAAAAAAATTCTTATTTGAAACAGAAGAACTGCAAATAAACTCAACTAGCACATCCTATATAATAAATGTAAATGTCAGTGTGTCAGTATGTCACACTTTTTCAAATTACACCTAGAGGCCATAGCCCAACATATCATACCATTTTGGAATCAGGCCGACTCCGAGAACAAATTAAAATCATTCCGACTCGGATCCAGACCTGCAATCCCAAAATTTTGGATTCTCAAGTTTCCATTCCTGCAATTGTTGTTGGCGACAATTTTTTTTTTTTGTACGATAACAATTTTTATAACTTGGAAGCAAATTTGGGAATAATGGAAATTAATTGCGAAATCCAGCGAAAATCACCCATGAATTAAAAATAATTGTTTATACAGAAAGTAATGACCTACGTACATCAAATTGGGTTTAAATTATCTGGCGGTACAGAATTATCGTTGAAACTTTTAAAAGGTAAGCTTAAATATTATAATGCAATACTTAAATGCAGCGATCAATTTTGAGTTCTTCTGTAGTTTATTGTTGCCTATTGCATACGGCAGCAGTATGGCTCGCAAAAAGAAAACTCCACCAACAGAGGACCAGACTGCAATCAAAAGAGCCAAGGCTGCAGCGAGGAAAATAAAATCCCGTGCATATGAAACCCAGATCAAACGGCAGCTAAGAGAGCTTCCAGTGCTGAGAACATGCAATGACTTAGGGACTCTCAAAGAAGCCGAAGGTCCAATCAAGAGCCCTTCGCAGGAGTTAGTAGATTCCGAAGTCGTCCGAATTGCAGGAGATTCCGAAGTCGTCTGAATTGCAAGAGATTCCGAAGTCGTCTAGAGGTCGTGTTTGAAGCCAATGGCGATTTTATTGAGTAAATTTACTCAATAAAAAATTTACTCAAATTTCGAGATTTTTTATGCAATTTTGGTAAATGTTGCCCGATATGGCGGCTTTTAAGCTAGTAAATAATAAAACACAAAGTTGGTAGGTTTTCATTATAATTGTTTACAAAAGTTATTTGATATGTCAGTAATATTTGTTTCCCTGTTCATTCTTTTTGAAAGACAATATGTTTTATTAATATATAAACATATAATAAATTCATATCAAACAGAAAAGTATGCTAGATTAATTAACACCTTAAAATATATAGCCGGGTATGTCTAGATAGCACCTTTCCCCGAAAATTCGAAAATTCATTTTGAAACGGAAATTAGAAGAAGCGTGCAATGGCGAAACTTCCGGTTCATTTCTCTTCTTTTATATCGTAAAAACTTAAGTCTTTTAGTGAACCGGAGGTACTAAAATCAAACACGTGCGGAAATTTAAATACAGTGATACCTCGGGTGGTGTTGGGGCTTAATCTAAAATAAACTTCCCATGCAAATACCTACCTACATCATGGACGATGTTAATAATATTTAGGGGATGTTACCGTTCTTGTCATATCCTGCATTTAGATATGGTTCGAACATGGAACTGAATTATCTCTATCTATAAAAGGCAGGATGTGTGTGTGTGTGTGTGTGTGTGTGTGTGTGTGTGTGTGTGTGTGTGTGTGTGCGCGTGCGTGCGTGCGTGTAAAGGAATGCACGGTCGCAATTTTTGATAGATTTGCCCCAAAATTTACATGCACACGCTCCAAGTTAGTGGAAAGGCCAAGACCGACATTGCATTTCCCAACTCCCATCGATAGTGGAAATAATCGATTTTTTCATGCTTCTACGGCAGTTTTCATGTAGTTTGCGGCCATTTTCTACAGTCCAGAGTGAGAGCAAATAGCTGGCTGCCACGAATAGGCAGGAAGATTCTATTGGCCAGCGTGAGAGCCAATAGCTGTCTGACACGAATGTTAACTAACATGCTAGCATGCAAAAAAAATCGATAGCTGCATTCGTCACAAGTGTGAAAAATTTAAATCTGCATGGCACTTTACTCCAATTGGCTCATTCGCTTGCTTAAACTCAACGTTGATTCTGATTCCGCAGAACTGGGTTGGGTGTGAAAAAGTATTTGTTGTTAACATTCTTTTTTCTTTCGGTTTTTCCAGTTACGAGTCCTTTTTTAAAGCTGATCATTTTGTGTTCATTTTGTTTAGTTCTTTTTTCTTAACAGATTTAATGTTTAGTATAGACCTTAGAAAAATTCGCAGTATGAGATAGGCAAGAAGTAAGGCATGTAGCAACATCAGCACAGCAAAGAGCACTCCTTTAAAGACAAGGAAGGGCAAAAATATTTTATGTCAAGTGATAGCGATTGCTGTATGAGTCGTAGTATACTGTTAAAAGTAAATATTCTAGAATAAACTGCTTATTTCCTATTTTAATCTCCCGATGAACCTTAATTCTTAAGTTAATTGATGATTTAAATAAGCTCACTGCAAGTTCCACGACCATAAAGTACCCATGGAAAATCCGACTATCTCATCGTCAAATAGTTGCGCTTAACAACTTCAACAAAATAATGCAGTAACGATCATATGTGCGAATACGGATCATTATTTAATAGGGTTCAAATATTTGAAGTATTTTCCATTTCACTGAAGCAGACGTGAAACACACGACAGTATTATCGCCTCCTCTGTCTTCTCTCTTAATCTTAATTTATTTATCTCACTGAAACCAACCAGCGTCTCTGGTATGTCTTTTTCGTCTTTCCCTGTGATCAAAACGGAATAATAAATTAATTACTAGATATTGACTGGACGTAACTGTCGTGCTAACTAACCAACTAAGGAACAGGCAAAATAATAATTAGAAAGACCCGCGAAATTTTCACGGCTTTCCTATTTGAATTATCTGGTGAAACTTAATTCTTAAGTTAATGATTGAATAAGCTCATGGCAGCAATAAAATGTCTGTAGGAATTCCCTTATCGCATCGTTAAAATATTCAAGCTTAAAAACATGAAGAAAATGTTGCAATAACAGTCATATATATGAATGCTGGCCGTTATTTTTAAGAAGTAAGGGGGTACAAATGACAAAATTTTCCATTTCACTGAAACAGGCGTTAAACACTTTTATCTTCCTTAATTTTGTTTTATTTCTTTCATTTTCTCGCCGAAATCAAGTGGTGTCTTTTCCTGTCATTTCACGCGATCAAAACGGAATAGCTCATTATTTATGAGGTATTGGCAGGACGTAACAGTTGTGCGAACTATCGATATATATACACACACACACACACACACACACACACACATATATATATATATATATATATATATATATATATATATATAGTATCTTTTTTTTTCGAACGTAACTCATAATTGATACAATAATAGTTAATAAAAAATAAACACGCTATCGCCCCTGTCTAAATGATTGGATTTCTCTGTATCCTTGGAAACCAAAAATTATGAATTGTATGTGCGTTTAAAACTCAGTAAATTTAAAAATAATTTATTCCAAAAATCGCTTGAAGATGAAACAGAACTAATGCTTTTAATTTAATTAAATAATTAAATTTGAAGTTTTTAGCTTCAGTTTTTGAAACATGGTATTCCCTGTGTAGTGAAGGAACCATATTTTTAAATCAGTTAATTTATGATATTTATACTCTGTAAATTTGCATTGGGCACTGTTTTGTAACAAATAAAAAATAAAAATATCAATAAGAAGACCGGATTATATACCTTACTGTTCTTTCTTTTGAGGATTTATTCAAAAATTATAACATAAGCATGTTATAACATCACTACAAAAATAGACATTTTTCTTCAACACTTCTGGTGCCATGTCAAGTGATGGTGTTTTTTGCAGAATAAAAAGTTTTGGTTATTGAATTTTATTTCGTCTATACCAATCTTGTACTTGTACTTGTATATATATATATATATATATATATATATATATATATATATATATATATATATATATATATATATATATATATATATAATATAATGCAAAGCATTTCAGTAAAATGAATAGAGCACTCCGACTGATTGTCAATTGTTTACATTCGTAAAATCAATACGCTAGATTTAGCCGTTTCACTCTGCCGAATGAAGATGGCTCAGTAGTAGAACCTCTGACTGACACCAAATCGGTTGGGTTTCGATCCGGGCTTGAGGCATTTGGATGTTTATTAGCACTGAGGAGCTGTGAAACATTTCTGTCTGCGAAGGACATTGTAAAGAATGTTGCAAAGGAAGAATCACATGAGGCAACAAAAAAAATTCCACTTTTCATTAATTTTCCTAATAGAAGATTCAGGGTGGCTTGCTTATCCCTGACGCAGACATCTGCTCTGGCACATTATTTTTTATTGCTCAATACTGCAGTTATGCTGAACGATCTTTAGTTACCGTTTCCGGAAGAGAGCATATTATCTGACGCGACCTGCAATTTAACAAAGTTAGTTCGCCACCCTCGGTCACGATGACTTGACACTTCGAACAGCCTTGGCTAACCATTTTTGCTCGCAAGGCTTGGGTCAAATCGCGGTATGATCTTCAGACACTCCCTAAAGGTGACACACCCTGTTATCGTGTCTCTAAGCCTGTCTTGACAAATCGACCATTACACACACACACACACACACACACACACACATATTTATATATATTATTAGTTAATTTTCTATATTTAAAATGGAAAAATGCTCAATATGAGAGATTGAGTGTGGAGAGAGGAATCAACATTGAAATAGAGAGAAATATGCTAAAGGCATCTATCTATCCAACTCTCTATATCCGTTTGTTCATATCTCTCTAATTCTCTCTCTTTCTCTCGCTCCCTCTCTCTCGATATATATATATATATATATATATATATATATTTTAGTTGGATAGATGTGAGTTTGTGACCCTGGGTTTCACGCTTTAGCGATCGTCAGACAAACTCGTCAGACAGGGTTTTTCTGACGATCGCTAAAGCGAAACCCAGGTCACAAACTCACATCTATCCAACCAAATATGTTACTCTATCTCTGATATTGAGCGCTTTCTAATAATACGCATATATAATATATAAATAATTATACATATATATATTTATTTATATTTATATACACTTTTCACATATATATATATATATATATATATATATATATATATATATATATATATATATATTATATTTATATCTCTCTGAGTCTGATAGATAAGGATCTATGTATCTCAGCCTCTTCATATCTTTCTATCTCAGCCTCTTTATATCTATCTATCTATCTATCTATCTATCTATCTATCTATCTATCTTAGCCTGTTCATATCTATCTATCTATCTATGTTTATATATTAGTCTGTTCATTATCTGCCTCCCTGTCTGATTCTATACTTATTTATCTCAATCAGCTAACATATATCTATTTCTCAGATAGTTTTATATCTATCTCTGTTCATGTGTATCTACTTTAGTTTCTTCGTATCTATCTATAAATCTATCTCAATCTGTTCATCATCCATCTATCTGCCTATCTATCTGTATATATATACATCCGCACGCACACACACACACACATAAATATATATATATATATATATATATATATATATATATATATATATATCAGTTTGTCCATTATCTACCTACCTGCCATATCTATCTATCTATCTATCTATCTATCTATCTATCTATCTATCTATCTATCTCAGTCTGTTGAATATCTATCTATCTATCTATCTATCTATCTATCTATCTATCTATTTCTCTGTTTGTCTGTTTGTTTCTCTGTCTGTCTGTCGCACGTAAATCAATAATCATTTTCAACAATGTCCTTTTTTTTTTCTTTTTTTTTTTTCATTTTCTTTCTTTTCAGGAAATCTCTGCTCTGTCGATATGAATGAACAGACAAATTGACAGACAGACTGACAGCCTGGGAAACCCCGGACATTACTCCCGCTATTTATATACATAGCATCGGCTTATTTACCTTTCTACTTGCAAAGGACGAAAACACATATTTGCTTCCAGTAAGTTGACATTTTTCCTGCATTATTTTTGCTTCATTTCTCTTCATATTCTTTAAACTGGACCCTTTCTTGTACCGTTATTTTTTTTTAATCTATTACTTAATGTTTCGTTTTAAAGCTTCTTTTATTTTTTTATTTCCTTCTATTTTTTTTCATCTTTTTTAGTGATTACTGTCTTTCTTTTTTTTCTTTTTTATTATTCATTCATTCTGTCATTCTCGCCGTTATTCGTCCTGTTTTCTTCATATTCTACTTTCTTTCATTCATTCATTCTTTCTTTCTTTCTATTGCCCATTCATCTTTATTTATTTATTTATTTATTTATTTTTCCCATTCATCTTTCTTTCTTTCGACCCTTTCATCTCTCTTTCTTTCTTTCTTTTTTCCTATTCATCTTTCTTCTTTCTTTCTTTCATTTTTTTCTTTCTTCTTTCTTTCTTTCTTTTTTCCTATTCATCTTTCTTTCTTTCTTTCTTTCTTTCTATTGCTCATTCATCTTTATTCCTTTTTTCCTATTCCTCTTTCTTTCTTTCTTTCTTTCTTTCTTTCTTTCTTTCTTTCTTTCTTTCTATTGCCCATTCATCTTTATTTATTTCTTTTTCCCATTCATTTTTCTTTGTTTTTTTGTCCCTTTCATCTCTCTTTCTTTTTTCCTATTGCCCATTCATCTTTCTTTCTGTCTGTCTTTCTTTCTTTCCTTCTATTGCTCATTCATCTTTCTTTCTGTCTGTCTTTCTTTCTTTCCTTCTATTGCTCATTCATCTTTCTTTCTTTCATTTTTTCTTTCTTTCTTTCTTTGTATTGCTCATTCATTTTCTTTCTTTCTTTTTTCCTATTCATCTTTCTTTCTTTTGTCCCTTCCTTCTCTCTTTATTTCTTTCTTTCTTTCTTATTTCGACTTTTTTCTTCGCGTTTTCCTACTTTTCTTTACTCACTGACAATTTTTCTGCCTTTTTTTCTTCTATTTCTCCGCCATATTTTACTCCTTGAACTTTTTCTTCTTTTTACAACGTACTGTCGTTCTTTATTTCTTTTTCTTTCTTTCTTTTTCTTTCTCTCTTTTTCTTTCTTCTTTGCATCTTTATATCTAGATTTCACCTCCTCCTTCTTTTTCTCGTCTAATACTTGCTCATCTTTCTTAGTTTTCTTTTATTTCGTCTCGTTTTTCTTTCTTTCTTTTATTTCCTCTCATTTTTGTTTCTTTCTTTTCTTTTCTTTCTTTCTTTCTTTCTTTCTTTCATTTCCTCTCGTTTTTCTTTCTTTCTCTTTATTATTTCCTCGCGTTTTTCATTCTTTCTTTTATTTCCTTTCCATTTTCTTTCTTTTCGCATTTTTCTTCCTTTACTCATTCCCTTTCTATGTCTTTTTTTCAATTTCCTTTTTCCTTTCCGTCATTTTTCCATTTTTGTCTTTTTTTTTGTTGTTGTTGTTATTCTTTGTAGCCTTTCACTTTTTATTCCTTTCTGTTTTCTTTTCATAATTTTCTTTCTTTTCAACTTTTGCTTCATTGTTATTCTTTTTCATTCTTTACATCGTCTTTCTCCTTTTTCTTTCGTAACTTTCACCTTTGCTTTCTCTTTTCTTTCATTTTTCACTTTTTTGTTCCTTCTCGCCAAACATTCCTTTCTCTTTATCTCTCTCTTTTACTTCTTTGTCTTTCTCATTTCACTTCTTTCTTTCATTCTTTCTTTCTTTCTTTCTCTTTTCTTTCTCCTTCTTCTTTTTATTTTTGACCATTTCATTCTTGTTCGTTACCTTTCTTTTTTTCTATTTTCTTCTTTCTCTTTTATTGTTTTTCTTTCTTTTTTTGCTATCTTTCTTTCTTTCTTTTTTTCTTTTTCTTCATTTTTCTCTCCTGTCTCTTTCTCTTTTCTTTTAATCTTTCTTTCTCTAAGTGGTTGCTTCCTTTTTTCTTCTTCTTCTTTGTCTTTCTTTCTTCCTCATTTCTTTTTCTTTATTTCTTCGCCTTTCTTTCTCAATATTTTTCTGTACTTCTTTTTCGTTCTTTCTTACTCGCTTTCCGTCTTTCTTGTTTTCCATATTTCTTACTTATTTTTGTCCCTCTCCTCCTCGCTTCATTCCCTATAACTTTTTTCTTTTTCTTTCTCACTCCTTTTCTTTCGCTTTATTCTTCATTCTCTTTTAAATTTCTCTTTGTATGTTTCGCTTTTTTTCTCTTGTGTTTTTTTTAATTTGTCTTTCTCGCTTTGTGTTTTCTGATTTCTCTTTTTGGCTTTCTTTTTCTTTCTTTTTTTACCCTTCCTTAATTCTCTTTCATTTTTCTTTTTTTTTCTTACATTTTTTTTCGTCTCCTCTCTTTCTCTATTTTTTACTTCTCTAACTGAATTCTTTCCCCTTTCTTTTTAATTCATCATTTCTTTATTTACTTTCTCTTTCTTCGCTTTTGTCTTTCTTCTTCCTTCACTTTCTTTCTTTCTGTCTCATTTCTTTTCCTTCACGTCTTTTTCTTTCTTTCTTTGTTATTCGCTTTCCTTCTTTATCGTTTCCTTTCTTTCTTTCTTAATTTGCGTGTGTGCGTGTCACATTCTCTCTCCCTTTCTGTTTCTTCTCTTTTCATTCGCCATATTCTTTTTTCTCTCTCTTTCTTCCTTCTTTTTCTTTTTCTCTTTCTTCCTTCTTCTTTCTTTCTCTTTCTTACTTCTTATTTTTAATTCTTTCTTTCTTTTTCTTCCTTCCTATTCGTTTATTCTTTCTTTTTCTTCCTTCCTATTCTTCGATTCTTTCTTTCTCTTTTCTTCCTTCCTATTCTTTTATTCTTTCTTTTTCTTTTCTTCCTTCCTATTCTTTTATTCTTTTTTCTTTTCTTCCTTCCTATTTTTTTTTTTTTCTTTTTTCTTCCTTCCTATTCTTTTTTATTCTTTCTTTTTCTTTTTCTTCCTTCCTATTCTTCGATTCTTTCTTTCTCTTTTCTTCCTTCCTATTCTTTTATTCTTTCTTTTTCTTTTCTTCCTTCCTATTCTTTTATTCTTTCTTTCTCTTTTCTTCCTTCCTATTCTTTTATTCTTTCTTTCTCTTTTCTTCCTTCCTATTCTTTTATTCTTTCTTTCTCTTTTCTTCCTTCCTATTCTTTTATTCTTTCTTTCTCTAACTGGTTTCTTTCCATTTCGTTCTTATTAATTCTTGCTTTCATAGCTTTCTTCTTTCATTCTTTCTTTTTCTTTACCTTTCATTCTTTCTTTTCCTTCACTTTTTTTTCTTTCTTCCTTACTTACTTTCCTTCCTTCTTGTTTTCATCCTTTCTTTTTTTGGCACTATCTATCTCATTTTATCTCCCTGTTTCACACTACCTCTCTGTCTGTTGGTCTGTCTGTCTGCCCCCCTCTCTCTCTCTCTCTCTCTCTCTCTCTGTCTCTCTCTCTTGCTTTTCTTTTTCACTCTCTATGTCTTTCTAAGTTCTTTCTCTTTCTCTTCGTTCCAGTCTTAAGTTCCTTTTTCGTCGCCTTACAAATATACGATTTAAAAAAGATTAACAATTTTAACAATCATTTCCTTCTTCATGCAACAAAAAAAAGCAAGTTGAACGAAAGGATTTCCTAATAAAGAAATAAAATGAAATGAAAAATTCTGATATATATATATATATATATATATATATATATATATATATATATATATATATATATATATATAATCATATAAAAAGCACTTCATGGATGATTTATGTTACAGCCGATGGTAAACGAAGCAAGTGATTAAAGACATATTCTTCCAATCAATAAAAAGTCACCCAAAGAAACTCAGTCCAACAAAAAAATCATTTTAAACGGATTAATTCTTTTCTGAACAGGTCCATGTTTTCCGGTGAATAGGGCACGAAATTTTATCGTTTCTTTTCTTTTCACTAACATTTCGGCCAAAGTGTAAATTGTTTATATATATATATATATATATATATATATATATATATATATATATATATATATATATGTGTGTGTAGAAATAGAGTCTTAACGCTCGCTATATTTATGGGATAACGTGCTCAATAATATATTTTTCTGCTAATCATTATTTTGATACATACAATTATTTAAGTAAGTGCTCAGTTTAGTATAAAAACTATTAGATACATTTACCAGCCTTAATGTACAAGAAATTTCGCATAAACTATGAACCCTCCTGCAGGGATCGAACCGGTATACTGCACGGTACGTCATTTGTCGGATTTAGTCCATTTCATAATGTATGTTGTCATTTATTTACGTTAAAATACGCTTCGGGCAGATATGATCGTTCGAGAAAGATCGTGGGAGATTTGTTGTTTAAAAACAGTAATTTGAACTTTGCTAACCAGACGCTTCCGCTTTAGCTAAACGGTATAGCACGTCAGGCCAAAAGATTATTCCGTGTAGGATACAGGTTTGATTCCTGTCGGAGGAAATTTTTCGGGTATTTAGGCCGTTAGATGTAATTAATACTACTTATTTCCAACAGAGCATTTATTTAAATAATTGTATCTATGAAAATAATGTACAAAGAGAAAAAAAAAGATATATATATTTTTTAAGCATACAACCCCAAGCAAGGCGGGGACCCACTAGCACGCAAGGGGTTACAGAGAGTTGGAGCGAGAGCAAAGAGGAGTGACAGAGGAAAGGATGAAGAGAAGGTTAGGGGATAGATCAGGGCATCTGGAGACGTCGACTGACATTACACTTGGAGATTATAGCTATCAGGGAAACAGGAAGAGGGGAGGGAGTTCCACAGGCGAGAGGTGCGAGACATAAAGCTATTGGAGTAGAAGAGACGTCTACATTTAACAGTTTCGACAGTGAAAGGGTGAGAGCGAGATGCCAGCCTAGTTGAACGCTTGAATTCATGAAGTCTGGGAACCAGCGAAAGCAACCCATCGGAGCAGTTACCGTGAAAGTATTTGTAAAAAAGGGAGACAACAACAAGTCTGTGAGAGATCGGCTGCAGACGAGATGCCAGATCAGGGCCAGTTACATTGCATATCCGTCTCTGGATTTTATCAAGGACCTTGAGACAAACAGAAGGGGCTCCAGACCATATATGGCAGCAATACTCCATGCAAGGGCGAATGGTTGATTTGTTGATTTGAAGGATTGACACCGGCGAGAAAAATTTCCTGGCACAGCACAGGGAGCCAACTTTCCTAGCGATGGACGAAGCTAATTGTTGGAGATCGTTTATTTCGTAATGTATATTTCCTGTTTATACGTTATTTTTATGGATACAATTTATTTAAGTAAATGCTCTGGTTTTAATTAAAGAGAATTAATTACATTTATCGACCTGAGTGTTCGAGAAATTTCGTAGAAAATATACGTTCTCCGACAGGAATCGAACCTGTATTTCGATACGGAAAGCGTCATTTGGCCTGATATGCTGTTAACCATTCAGCTGCAAAGAAATTCCTTATGGGATACAGGTTCGATTCCCGTCAGAGAATGCATATTTTCTATGGAATCTCTCGAATATTCAAGCCGGTAACTGCAATTAATATCGATAGATAATGAACAGACTGATACATACATACATACATACATACATATATATATAGTATTTGTTGGTTATTGGAATTTATTCCGTATACAACCATCTTATACTTATATATATATATATAAAACACTTTCTAAAAGTATAATGCAACGAACAGAGGAATTTTACTCCATCTATTCTTTCTCTCATTAAATAGATATATAGATAGATAGATAGATAGATAGATAGATATTTACTTATTTGAGTAAATGCTCTGTTTTTAATTAAAAATTAAGCGTTTACTCAAATAAGTAAAAGTTGTATCCATAAAAACATCGTATAAACAGAAAATGTCTCAAAATATTTGTCGGATTTCATCCATTTTCATTAGTCTGGGTTTGTTCATGTTGTTGTGACCACGCATGCGCACGAACGGAAAACGCTGTGAATTTTAAAATTTATAATTTTTTTTTTTTTTTGCATACAATCTAGGCAATTTCATCTAGATACTTTTCCATTATCTTTGTTATTAAATATTCGACATTGTGATAACAGAAAACCTTCCAAGAATGGTGAAACGTTACGAGAACCTAGATGCAAATTGACTGTAGATAATCTGGCGATTAAAGCACTTTCTCGACATTTTTGGCTAAGTGAATTATTTTCTCTTTTGATTCGAATAATTTTTTTTGTCATACATCTTTTCTGTCAAAACTGTTCTTGATATATAAAAAAATTATATACGTTATCCATATATATATATATATATATATATATATATATATATATATATATATATATAATTATTTATCTAAAAATTATAACATAAATATGTTATAAAATCACTACAAAAATAGCCATTTTGTTTCAAAACGTCGGGGTATACCGGAGGTGTTGAAACAAAATGGCTATTTTGTAGTGATTTTATAAATATAAATATGTTATAATTTCTAAACAAATAATTATATCTGCTCTACTCTGTATTGAGGACTCTTTTAATAATAGTAATTGTTGGTTATTGGAATTTATTCCGTATACACCAATCATATACATATATATATATATATATATATATATATATATATATATATATATATATATATATAGGAGTCGCCTGACGTCTAGCATGAAACAGTCTGTTACTTTTGAGTGTTGATTTCAATGTTCACTTTTATATGTATACATATATACAAAATACGCCAGCGACTCGGAGAACTCCATTCATACTTGAAGAGTAATGTTTAATAGCAGTAGGAGACGCTGTTTTTAAACCCTCTTTCCTAAAGAGCTCAACCGGATATATATATATATATATATATATATATATATATATATATATATATATTTCAAAATACTATAGGTATATTATATCTATTTATTTCTGTAATAATCCTTTCTAGTTCTGGAATTATCTTCTTAATGTTAAGTTGAAATTAATCAAGGACGATGCAGAACGATTGAGAAAAATCGTCGAAAATTCTACGTTTATAAACAGTAATGCGAATTTTGCTCGCCAGACGCTTCTCTGTAGCTGAATGGTACAGCACGTCAGATCAAATGAGGGTTTCCGTATAGGAATACAGGTTCGATTCCAGCCGGAGAACGCATAATCACATTGAACGCCTTACGGATCTTTCTAGAGATTTTTATTTTCGATAGAGGTTTATCTTAAATTCAAAGCAGAAGAGATGCAGGGGAGCTGGGAATGAGGTAAATAAATTTCGACGACGACGAAGAAGAAGAACGAAGGAAAGAAACAATGAAGGAAAGTATCTGTCTATATTTCTGAGATCAGGTATTATGTACCCTATTTATATTATTCGGACTATTGTCCTCTTATTTGTCGCCATATTTATAACAAACATGCAGTATCTGTCTATATTTCTGAGATGAGGTATTATGTACACTATTTACATTATTCGGACTATTGTCCTCATCTTTATCGCCATATTTATTACAACGTTTCGGCCCTTCAGTATCTGTCTATATTTCTGAGATGAGGTATTATGTACACTATTTAAATTATTCGGACTATTGTCCTCATCTTTATCGCCATATTTATTACGACTTTTCGGCCCTTCAGTATCTGTCTATATTTCTGAGATGAGGTATTATGTACACTATTTACATTATTCGGACTATTGTCCTCATCTTTGTCGCCATATTTATTACAACTTTTCGGCCTTTCAGTATCTGTCTATATTTCTGAGATGAGGTATTATGTACACTATTTACATTATTCGGACTATTATCCTCATTTTTATCGCCATATTTATTACAACACCGAACCTTCAGTATCTGTCTATAATTCTAAGATGAGGTATTATGGATAATATTTACATTATTCGGACTATTGTCCTCATCTTTGTCACAATATTTATTACAATGTTTCGGCTCTTCAGTATCTGTCTATATTTCTGAGATGAGGTATTATGTACAATATTTACATTATTCGGACTATTGTCCTCATCTTTATCGCCATATTTATTACAACGTTTCGGCCCTTCAGTATCTGTCTATATTTCTGAGATGAGGTATTATGTACACTATTTACATTATTCGGACTATTGTCCTCATCTTTGTTGCCATATTTATTACAACGTTTCGGCACTTCAGTATCTGTCTATATTTCTGAGATGGGGTATTATGTACACTATTTACATTATTCGGACTATTGTCCTCATCTTTATCGCCATATTTATTACAACGTTTCGGCCCTTCAGTATCTGTCTATATTTCTGAGATGAGGTATTATGTACACTATTTACATTATTCGGACTATTGTCCTCATCTTTGTCGCCATATTTATTACAACTTGTCGGCCTTTCAGTATCTGTCTATATTTCTGAGATGAGGTATTATGTACACTATTTACATTATTCGGACTATTGTCCCCATCTTTGTCGGAATATTTATTACAACACCGAACCTTCAGTATCTGTCTATAATTCTGAAATGAGGTATTATGTACACTATTTACATTATTCGGACTATTGTCCTCATCTTTGAGGCCATATTTATTACAACGTTTCGGCCTTTCAGTATCTGTCTATATTTCTGAGATGAGGTATTTTGTACACTATTTACATTATTCGGACTATTGTCCTCATCTTTGTTGCCATATTTATTATCACGTTTCGGCACTTCAGTATCTGTCTATATTTCTGAGATGGGGTATTATGTACACTATTTACATTATTCGGACTATTGTCCTCATCTTTATCGCCATATTTATTACAACGTTTCGGCCCTTCAGTATCTGTCTATATTTCTGAGATGAGGTATTATGTACAATATTTACATTATTCGGACTATTGTCCTCATCTTTGTCGCCATATTTATTACAACTTGTCGGCCTTTCAGTATCTGTCTATATTTCTGAGATGAGGTATTATGTACACTATTTACATTATTCGGACTATTGTCCCCATCTTTGTCGGAATATTTATTACAACACCGAACCTTCAGTATCTGTCTATAATTCTGAGATGAGGTATTATGTACACTATTTACATTATTCGGACTATTGTCCTCATCTTTGAGGCCATATTTATTACAACGTTTCGGCCTTTCAGTATCTGTCTATATTTCTGAGATGAGGTATTATGTACACTATTTACATTATTCGGACTATTGTCCTCATCTTTGTCGCCATATTTATTACAACTTTTCGGCCTTTCAGTATCTGTCTATATTTCTTAGATGAGGTATTATGTACACTATTTACATTATTCGGACTATTGTCCTCATCTTTGTTGCCATATTTATTACAACGTTTCGGCTCTTCAGTATCTGTCTATATTTCTGAGATGAGGTATTATGTACAATATTTACATTATTCGGATTATTGTCCTCATACTTGTTGCCATATTTATTGCAACGTTTCGACTCTTGTACGCTCCGAATAACACATGGTCAGTGGATAAAGGCGTTGGTTAGAGCCAGTGACAGGACCCAAAAAGTTGTGAGTTCAATACCTTGTTAAGGCAGTGGCGAACTTGGATAGGGGGATTAACAGGTGATAACTGACATCCATCAGACATGGCACGTGAAACTAGAACAGACTACCCCAGCATGCGAAATAAAAGGTTCAGTTCGACATTCCAACCACCTGAAAAAGGGCGGAGTGTACAACGGCCGAAACTTTGTGATACATATGGCAACAAAAATAAGGACAATAGTCAGAATAATGTAAATAATGAAAAAGTATGTATACGTACGAACGAGAAAGTAGGATTTCGTGTGCGTTTATTCATTTAAAAGTCAGAATTATTTGAGATTTTTATGGTTTACCAACTTAATGTTGGTTATTTAAAACTGAAACATATTTCGAATTGTAACGATTATTCTTACGAGTTATTATTGGATTAACAAGTATTTTTGAGAAAACAGTGCTTTTTTTAACATACACGCCCAACTATTTAACCCATAGCTGGGGGTGAGAAAAATGTATTAGAAGTAAGAAAGAAAGTCTGTACATATGTGTGCTTATTCGTTTGCTCGTAGCAACATGGTCAAATAATCACATCCCACTGCCGATTGCTCTTTGTATGTATAAAAAAAAGTATGTTTTTCTATGTGGGGGACATTTGCGAAAAAAAACCGCCCTATCTCTGTTTATATTAGCTGTGGGAGGGTGAGGCAGCATCCGAAGATGGGAAGAAAAGACGAAAATGAGAAAAGGGTGTGCATTTGTATGGAGTGGGATGGACACAAAGTGAGGTGGGGGTCTGTTTATCAAAGGAAAACCACGTGCATTCAATCTGCTCATATATATATGAGGCACGGTGGGGTAATGGATAGCGGCTCGGATTGAGGAATCGGCAGAGCAGAGTTCGAATTCTAGCCGAATCCATTGCATTCACTTACGTGCTAATACCCTTGAGAAAGGTATGAATCCTCTTCCTCTTCCTCTTCCTCCAGTTATGGGTAAAATAGCAGGACAGACTGGGTTCTATAACTTTGGATGGAAACTGGTCTAGGAGAAGGACAACTTTGAATTCAAAACCTGTGGAGGGTCGTTTGGGAACCTTGTGGCATTCGGTGCACCAGGTCTCTTTATTCGTCCCTTCAAAAAGTGTGGATGGTCCTGCACGAAGCCTTCACCACTATAATCAAATCTCATGTGCCGGTGTCGGGCTATTGGTTTCCTGAAACTGATCTGCTTGACCCTCATACGTCGAATCTCGACGGGAGAGTCGATATATATATATATATATATATATATATATATATATATATGTGTAGCATATCTTCCTTCAAACATGTTTCATTGAATATTGTTATGATATTCCTTTCTGATTGTCCAATAATTTTTTGGAGTATTTGGTAGGAAAAAACTACGGCACCTTCATTGATGAATTTCATCTTAGCATTAAAAAACTGATTAAAGAACTGGAAAGGATTATTTTACAAACAAATGGATATATTGTGTTATATTATTCAATTGAATATATATATATATATATATATATATATATATATATATATATATATATATATATATGTATGTATGTATACACTTTAAAAGTCAGGAGGTCAGTCGAATTCGATACCTCGGCTTCAACCTTACGCCATACTTACCTAAACAAAATAGACCAAACCCGGATATAAGAGAAACCCGGATATAAGAGACTCCTTCTCCGGTCCTGACAACTCTCTTATATCCGGTTACACTGTATATCTCTTTATCTCAAATCGTCTTTATCTACCTCACTGTTCTATCTATTTATCTATCTCTCAGTCTTTTCTAATCTATCTACATATATATATATATATATATATATATATATATATATATATATATATATATATATATATATATATTATCTATCTCATTCTGTTACATGTGTCAACCTATCGATCTATCTCTATATATCTGTTTATCTCAGTCAAATTCCTATCCATCTACACACAAACATATTAGTCTGGTCATATCTATCTGTTCATCTATCAATCTATCTATTTATCTGAGTATCTTCACATCTATCTATACACACAAATACACACACACATATACTACATATATATATATATATATATATATATATATATATATATATATATATATTTATCGATCTATCTCTTTATCTATCTCAGTCTATTCATATCTATCTATCTATCTATCTATCCTTCTCGCTTCTTTTTAAATAACAGTATTAATCTGACTGCAACAATTTTTTTCCTGTCAAAATCCAATTTTTGTTCAATTGTCTTGCGACATTCTTATAAATATGATAATTGATTGAAATTATCCCAATCAACTACACTTGCGTTATGGTAAACAAGCTCTCTAATCTAGCAAAGTGCTCCACCTCATTGGCTTTGTGCCAGATAATGTTTTAGTCTACGCTAGGAGTCTGGTAAAATCCCGTATTTATTGTATTTATTTTCAAATCAAGCACGCAGGTGATGCCCACATAGGAAACTGGCGCCACACAATCTTGCTTTGCAAACCAACAAATGTGCCAAATTTTTTGAAGGTATAAAAAGCTGAGTCTAAATAAAGGCTGAACAAAAGTAGATGAGGAAGGAATGGGGAGGAGAGAGCCAGGGAGGAGATCAGTGTCGCCGCTAATTGTACTGATTCTGTTTACAACATGTGCGATGACGGTTTATCTGTTTTTTCGGCGACTCTGTTTATTTTTCTATAAACTTTTGGTCTGCCTCGAAAATAAACGTGAACACGGATTTACACATACGGGACAGAATTTCCCCCGTGAAGCCGCACACAACACGTTAGACAAATACAGAGAGAACCGGGGGAGAAAGAGGAGGACTGGGGGGAAGAAAAATTAGAAAGAAAGGAAGAAAAGAAACTAAGAGAGGTACAAAAGAAAGAAAGAAAGAAAGAAAAAAAGAAAGAAAGAAAGAAAAAAAGACGAAGATAGATATGAATAGACCAGGAAAGAAAGAAGGAACAAAAGTAAGAACGAAAAGAACTAAAAAAGAGAAAGAAGCGGCGAAGATAGATAGATAGATAGATGGGGGTAGGAACAGATATATAGATAGATAGATAGATAGATAGATAGGAACAGATTGAGATAGATAGATAGATAGATAGATAGATAGGAACAGATTGAGATAGATAGATAGATAGATAGATAGATAGATAGATAGATAGATAGATAGATAGATAGATAGAAATTTAGTGAGACATACGTCAGCAGATCAAAAGATAGATAGATAGATAGATAGATACTAAGAAAGTAAGACATTTAGTGAGACATACGTCAGCAGATCAAAAGACAGATAGATAGATAGAAAGAAATTTAGTGAGACATACGTCAGCAGATAAAAAGATAGATAGATAGATAGATAGATAGATAGATAGATACTAAGAAAGTAAGACATTTAATGAGACATACGTCAGCAGATCAAAAGATAGATAGATAGATAGATAGATAGATAGATAGATAGATAGATAGATAGATAGAAATTTAGTGAGACATACGTCAGCAGATCAAAAGATAGATAGATAGATAGATAGATAGATAGATAGATAGATAGATAGATAGATAGATAGATACTAAGAAAGTAAGACATTTAGTGAGACATACGTCAGCAGATCAAAAGATAGATAGATAGATAGATACTAAGAAAGTAAGAAATTTAGTGAGACATACGTCAGCAGATAAAAAGATAGATAGATAGATAGATAGATAGATAGATAGATAGATAGATAGATAGATAGATATTATGATGATAATGACGAGATTATATAAGAAGAAAAATTGAATTGATTGTATAGAGATGATAGTTTAGGCATATCTGAATGAGCTGGGTGCTATGCGTAACATCCGCTTGAGAGTATACATGTGACGAGGTTATTTAAGGGCATGACTCCTTTTCAGGTTTATATTTTAATTTCGGACGACGAGATTATTCTTCGTGTAGTCTATCTTGTGCTCATTTCTCTTATCTTTATAATTTTAGGCCAAAGCTCGCTCACTACAATACTTTCACTTTCACTTTCTTATAAAACTCCTCGTCTGCGATTCTGTAGCGTCATTGTATAGGGTTAATGAGGGATTGTCTTCGTTAAGAACCAAAGGATACATTCGCTTGAAGCCATTTTTTAATAATTGTTCCGGGGAAACGGGACGAGACGGCCTAAAGTACGTCGGGTTTAACGAACGTTTCCTCTGCCACGGTAGACGCAGGTTCCAATTCCGATTGCTCCGGAGAGCACACTTAAGATTAGTCGGATATCCAGGCCGGTAGACGAAAATAAATAAATGTACTCTCAAGTAGCGTCTATTCAAATACGATTATCCACGAAACATAACGTTTAAGTAGTAAAATCTGTTGGATTAATATATATATATATATATATATATATATATATATATATATATATATTAGTTCATTGACGCGATAACATTTTTCAAATTCATTTTAACGCTCCAAACCCGTTATAAATTTCAAGACAAATATGAAATTTGTTTGAAATTGTATAGCTCCATATCTTGTCCAATAAATTTACCGGTGGCACTTGGGCGGGGGTGTTCAGTTACAGGGAAATGGTTTGGTAAACCTGTTTGTGCTCTTTCCGACAACAAAGTGTAAAATAAACCGTTTAACACGGAATTGGAACCCTGTTCGTGGATTTTATACCGTTGACCGTGACACCACGTTTCTTCTCTGAAACGATATATCTCAGACTATTTTCAAATTTGAAAAAAAAAAAAAAAAAAAAAAAAAACCGGTTCGCCATTTTTTTATTTTTAGATGCAACTACCGATGACTTTAAATTTAAGTATACCGCTTTTCCGATTCAAAAGCGGGTAGAAGACATCCCTATCAATTTCCAACTAGCAAGTATATTTTACACTTGCCACTGCACATGATCCACAATCAAGTAAAGTTACCTAGTTTTATACCATTGTAAGTTAGTGTAATTTCAGTAATGGTTTTTGCTGTGCGTGAGTCAGTAACAACTTTCAACAGATAGCGAAGTTCTGTCCGAATTTTGAATAAAGAAAACAAGCGACCAAATGTTACATTTAATTACAGATTCAATCAACAATGTATTTTCCCTGATTATCTATGACTTCCTTCCATCTATTAACAAGCTTACTAATTCCATTACTGTAAAATTCTTTTGGCTTTGATTCGAAGAACTCACAAATGTCAGTTTTAACCTCTTCCTGTTTTTCAAAAGCTGTTTCTTCCAAATGATTCTATAAGTTACGAAATAAATGGTAGTCTGAAGGAGCAAGATCGGGAGAATAAGGTGGATGAGGAATTTTCTCCCAACCAAATTCTTCGATCTTTTGTGACGTGATTCTTGTTGTGTGGGGTCGCGCATTGTCTTGATGAAACATCACCTCTTTTCGATTCACTAGAGCAGGTCTTTTTTCCTCAAAGCTTGGTTCAAACGCTCTAATTGCTGACAGTATATTTGAGCATTAATTGTTGCATTAGGTGGTAAGAATTCAAAGTGGATTATTCCTTGGCGATCCCACCAGATTGAAAGAAGAACCTTTTGCCCGTGAAGTTCCCTTCTCGGCTGTGGCTGGGGCCCTTCCCATTTACCAAGCCACTGTCTACGACGCTTAACATTTCGATAAAAGATCCATTTTTGGTCGCCAGTCACAAGTCTATCCAAAAAAGGTGAAACAAGTTGGCGAGAATGGAGAGAAGAGCAGATGTCAACTCGGGATTTGAGATTGTTTTCAGACAATTCATGAGGCACCCATTTTCCAAGTGTAAGAACTTTTCCAAGTTGTGGAAGATGACAATGAACAGTTGTATGGTTTGAACTGAGAACCACTGCCAATACCTTAACTGATAAAGCAGGATTTTCTTCAAGGCCTGCTTCAAGAAGCTTTTCATCAAACTCAACTGGACGTCCGGTTTGATCTTCATCTTCAAGGATGAAATCTCCACCTCTGAATTTTGCAAACCATCTTCTGCAAGTTCTTTCATTCATACATTCCTCTCCATAAACTGAGTGAATGTTTCTAGTCGCTTCGGCTGCTGAGTTTCCTTTCTTGAACTCATAAAACATTATGTGCCTCAAATGATTCTTGGGTACTTCCATGTTAGCAGGGTTTTAATCAAACAAAATATAATTTTATTGTTCTCTGAAATAAAATTTGATCAGTTTAAATGCATCTAAACATAAAAATAATGTTCAGCTCCATTAGACATTATAAAATATTCTTTAAATTTCGTTCATTTTAACAAAAAGTTAAAATTCGGACAGGACTTATGGGATGACCTGATATAGGGCACCATTCAATTTTGCTTGGCCGTCGACAGCCCAAAGTACGTCGATCAAAGCGGGGTGCAGGTTCGAATCTTGCCATAGAGCGTGTAAATATATATGGTGGGCTCTCCTGTCGTCTTCAACGTATGAGAGTCAAACAGCTCAGCTCCTAGAAAACGACATCCCAGACACCAGCACATATGATTTGATTATAGTGCATTATGTGCTTTGTGCAGAAACAAGTATAGTTATTGAAGGGCCGAATACAGAGATCTGGTGCACTATTTGCCAAAAGGTCCCCAAACGACCCTCCGCAGGTTTTGAATTCAGAGTTGTCCTTCTCCTAGACGAGTGGCCATCCAAGGCTATAGAACCCAGTCTGTCCTGCTATTTACCCAGAAGAGGATTCATACTGTTTCCATGTGTATTAGCACGTAAATTTATGTGATGGATTCGACTGGAATTCGAACTTGGCTCTCTTATTCCTCAGTCCGAGCCACTATCCACTACCCCATACATACACACTCAACCGTGTTTTATATATATATATATATATATATATATATATATATATATATATATATATATATATATATATATATATATATATATATATATATTTCTCTTTATACGTTATTTTTATATATACAATTTATTTCAGCAAATACTCCGTTTTTAATGGATTCGATTGGAATTCGAACTTGGCTCTCTTATTCCTCAGTCCGAGCCACTATCCACTACCCCATACATACACACTCAACCGTGTTTTTTATATATAACCGTGTTTTATATATATATATATATATATATATATATATATATATATATATATATATATATTCTCTTTATACGTTATTTTTATATATACAATTTATTTCAGCAAATACTCCGTTTTTAAATTTGTCTATATTTCTGAGATGAGGTATTATGTACAGTATTT